AGAAAGACTATAGCATGTAAATAGTGTAAATACTGAAAATTAACTTTACTTACCATGCTTCTTGTACTGAAATGTAACATTTTAATTTTATTTGATTTAAAAGAAATAATTTATTTAATTTTACTTCATTTAAAGAAATAAATTATTATCCCTATTTTTTCTAATCTTCCTTATTACAAATGTTATAAAGTCTATCCAAAAATATTCATTTTAATGTTTACTTATGTTTCATTTTTAACAGACTTTTCTTCCAAAGAATTTTTTCTTTGATTCTTTTTACACTGCAAAATTTTTTTAAAAATGCTATTATTTGTTACATAAATTTAATATTTTCTCTATGATAGAGTTATATATAACAACAAATATATTTTTTGAGCAATTTGTGTTTTTCTTTCTAAAAGGTATTTTAAAAAATTGTTGAATTCTAGTTTAGCATTTAAAAATATAAAATAGGAGCAAACAATATTTTATACTACAAAATTAATGAAAAATAATTTCTTAAGAACATTGTTATGTATAGTTAATGTCACATTCAATAAATTTAATCAGATATATTTAGATATTGTAAACACGGTGTACAAAACATTAACCCTAACCCTGCTTCTAAAACATGGAAGTCAATTCTTTCTACTTCTATAATTATAAAAAAGTATATTTATGACAAATAAGTCAGCATAAGTATTGCTACTTTATTTCTAAACAATAAAATAAAAAGTTGCTTTCATGTTTGTTTTGTTTCATGTTCTATTTTTGTTCCAAAATTCATAATTCCAATATAGTTTTGTTTCATTAAACCGTTTGAAACAATTCAAAGAATAAAATGTATGTAACCTTTCATACACCATTGTTAACAAAGTGAGAAGTGATGGATCTGAAGCTCCACCAAATTATATATTAATTAGACCTTAGTAAATAAAAAATATACCAAAGTAAAGATTAATTTTTCAAACCAAATTAATTATGCTCTTAATCTCTATGTTTTTCTTTGAATTTCTTAATTTGACTACAGCAGTGAACTACCATAAACCAAAATCTTCACTCCCAGTGAAAGGATGATATCTGAGATTGGCCTCTAGTTCTGGGTATCAGTTGCACTCTGACTTGAGAAAAGAATGTGTGTAAAGAATTCCATGACTGACTCATTTAATTTTTATTAAGATAACTAATTCTTTTTTGTATTGTTTTTATTTGTAATAAGATCAAGTCATTGGAGAATTTAAACTACCAAAATTATTTGATTAAATAAGACCTCCAGTTACTGAAAATCTGCTCCAAATCATAAAATAAGCAATGCAATAAAACTAAGACATTTTTTAAGAAAAGTTTTTAATTGCCTAAATATATCATCTTAAGAAAAAAAAATTTTTCTGAATAATTTTTACAAAACATTAATTAGAATAAGTAATAATCTTTTAAATCTGTATCCTGTATTAATTTGTAGTGACCTAGTTACATTGTTATTAAATTTATTTATGAAAGATTAAAAAAAAGAATTATTCTGTGTTAACAGATCTATCAATATGGACGAATTTATAGATTTTACTGATAAGAAGAAAAATTAATTTCCAATCAATTTTAAATTCAGTTTGAAATACAACAAAGTATTTTAATTATTTACAGTATTAAATTTAATCTATTAGCTTAGAATTAAAATTAAAGCTTCTGAAAATTTTTTTCATTTTTTAAGATGCATTTTAATCTTAGGTATAATTTTTTTTTGAGGTCCAATGAAAAGTTATATAATTCAATGTATATCAAGGCAAACAAAACAATTTCTGGCAACAAAATACTCAATGTTAATCTTGAGAAATAATTATTGTATCAGAAATAATTTAAGTTCACAACACCTATTGGAGTGTCTGAACAATTGTATTAATTACACAGGTACCATCAAAATGCATGCATCTTTTCCTAAATGAAAGCAAAAATTCGCCACCCTGTTTTAAAAAATTTGCCAAAAAATCAGGGAATTATCTGATTCAAAATGATCTTTTCAGTATTTATTCATTGATAAATTAATTGCATACTGAATAGGTTATTTTATTAGAAAACTGTAAAAGTATTTTTGGGAGTGAGGATGTCAGTTTCACAAGCATTTTTTTACACTCCATCTATTGAAAATAAGACAAAAATTTATAATATATCTATACTATATAGCTTATATAATGTTGTCTTGGCAAACAAGAAACACAATATTTATGCTCAGAATGTTACCAGAAAGAGCAATACAAATGCAGAAACCTGTGCTTTATAGACTACACAAAGGCATTCACCATAAAGACCTGTTAGAACTGCTCGGCCACCTTGATATATTTGGGAATGATATTAGAATAATCCAGAACCTATACTGGCAGCAAACTGCTTGCATACGGATAGAAAATGAGTCCAGCAGATATGCAAAAATAGAAAGGGGTATAAGACAAGGATGGGTCTTTTCACCGCATTTATTCAACCAATATAGTGAGACGGTTCTGAGAGAATTAGATGTCCTAACAGGATTCATTACTGATGGCCACAATCTTAACAACATAAGATATGAAGATGACACAGTGTTGATAGCAGACATGGAAAGGAAACTACAAAAGCTCCTACAGAAGGTAGTGAAGGAAAGTGATAAGAAAGGACAAAGCATCAATTGCAAGAAAACAGAATGCATGGTTGTTAGCAAAAGGATAAGCCCAAAATGCAAATTACAAATTGGAAATACCAAAATCAAATAAGAACAAAAATTTAAACATCTGGGAAGTGTTCTAACAGAGAACAGAAAGTGCGACACTGAAATCCGAAGACACATTGGGATAGCCAAAGATGCATTTCATAAGCTAAGCCGTGTATTAAGAAACAGAAACCTTTGTTAGAAACAAAGAAAAGAGTACTGAACTGTTACATGATATCTGTCCCCCTATATGGCAATTAATGCAAGACAATCACCTTGCAGTTGAAGAAGAGACTTTAAGCAACAGAAATGTGGTTCTACAGAAGGATGCTGAGGATACCATGGCTGAACAATGTGAACAATGACAAGGTTTTAGGGAAAATGGAAATAAAAGGAAACTTATACTTAACATCAGGAAGAGACAATTGAAATTTATGAGGCACATAATGAGAAAAGAGGGCTTGGAAAATCTAATACTCAAAGAACAGATTGAGGCCAAGAGGAAAAGAACACATAACATACTTGATAAATTTGTGTAAATGGATGGTGGAACAGGTTTTAGGAGATATAATGAAAAGACAAAATTTATTAAGAGCTATAAAGGACAGGAAATTGTGGAGAGTCATGATCACCTACATTATGAGGAGACACAGCAAAAAAAGAATAAGAATGTAGCCTTGTCACAGCAAGCATCAAGTCCCAAGTAGAAATCTACATTTTTGCCAAAACTTTAGTGAAAAAGACCTTTTCTACTTTTTTCCAATGTAGTTCTTAACCGTTTTTATTGTACTAGAAGATCTATCATATTAAAATATTTTTATTACCATCCCCCAAAATTATTGTAAATTATTTATTGTAAAATTAGTCAACAGTAATTTTGTTAGAATACATGTTTAGTCTGAAATTTGTATAATAAACTGCATTTTCACAGCCTTTCTAACACCAGAAAACAAAAAGTTTATCCACCAAATTTTTACATATTAAGCATTTAGCATATTTAGATTTTTACTATTTCCAATTACTTAATCTTAAATCATTCAAGGATGAAATTAAAAAATACATATTTTTTTAAATTTCATGCTTGAATAATCTATTTTGAAATGTTTTTATACATTCCTATTTGGGCAACAACTACACTCTGCAAACTAGGACAGGTAAAAGAAAAAAATACTAATGTTCATCCTGTGTGCTGAGAATTTCTTATTGAAAATGTGAAAATATTAAAAAAAATGTTTTACAAAATTTATTTTGGGAAATTTTAAGATTAAATTGGGATAATCTCAACAAAGGACAAGTATCACACCACATTAATGATGAAGGGAAAAATAAACATTTTAAAACCCAGCAAAAAAGCACAACAATTTTGCTCAACTCAAAACAAAAATAACAATCAAATATGACACTATTATGCTCTGACTTTTGATTTAAGTATATGGGATTGACATTATAGAATTAATTAGCAAAACAGAAATTCCAAGAAGTCTTTGGACAAAGCATTTATGAAATATGGTGCACTTAAAACATAAAAATAAAACTTCCCTAAATAGGTAGCCTTACCTTTATCAAATTTCCCTTGTATTTACACATTTCTACATTATAAGCACACACAAATTTTTACACAATTTCAGCATATAGCAGCATAGAGAGAATGGAGATCAATTTTTACCCTTTTGTTGAAATTATTTAAAGATGTCTTCAGTGAAACAAATGAATGAAGGTATTTTAAACCTAGAACTTATACCTTTTTAAATAAATAACAATGCATTTTTCTACAATATCAGTAATTCCTAGAAATGTTACAGTATTTTTTAAATACATTTAAAAGACAAAATAAATATAAAATAAATATAAAAATAAATATAAATATAAATAAATATAAAATATTATTTTCTAACTTTGTGAAGTGTTTTTGTTTCTGACAAAATCAAATAACTAACAATTAATATATTTTCCCCAAAATGAGTTCCTCAGAATGAACTTTCTTTAATTTATAGTCTGTATATATTTTATATTTGTTTCATATGAATCTCAACAGCCTTAAAAAATCTTAGTTAAATATTCTTTTCAAAATCTTCACTCAATATGTTTATTTTACTTCTTTACTCTTTCCTAGGATTTAAAGAATTTTACTAAAAGTTATTTTCCCAATCTAATAACATCTGAAATCTAATTTTCACAATGCCTTGTTATCTGACTTTTACTTAGTAAGGATGAAAGAGTTAAAAGTATTTAAATAAAATTAATTAAAATGTCTTTTGAAATGGTTTCAAAACAAAGCATTCAATTATTGGTAAAAGTGCACACACACACACACACACACACAATAACTGTATTTCTGTTGTTATCATATCTCGCCAGGATTGTGGACTCCAATTCCAATGCTGCGCTGGAGGATCCGATACAGTTCCCAAAAATATTTCCGCTTGTAATATTTCACAAATGAATGGTTATTGTAAGTGACTGGGTAGGCACATTGCCGTAGCAACCAACTCAACTTTTCACGAAGTTTCAAAGGAGCCTTCTTCAGAAGACCCACAAAGAAATATTTTCCTTGAAGAATATATTCACATACAACCTGAAATTAAAGAAAAGGAAACACAGATTCAATTGAATACAAAAAAATCATAAATTTTACATTTTAAAAGTACAGAAGATTTCATATGTCACAGCCTGTCTGCTTGTAGCGGTCTATGCATGTATATACGTGTGTACACACAATTTGACTGAGTTTAAAATAAAATATTGCAATAATACACTCCCTTTCCACTCAGTTTGGTAAATACTTATTCAAGGCTGAGCAATAAAATAAAGTTGGAAACAACAAAAAATGAAAAAAAGAAAAAATTATCAAGAACTTCATATCTATAAAACTCTTTGCTTACATAAGTGTAGGGATGTGAAACAGAATAAAAAAAAATATAAAATAAGCAACTTTTTTCTTTTTCATTGATGTATCCTTTTCAGATTTGTAAAGAAGTTGGCTTTATTGACATTCTTATTTGGTTTATATTTTTTGGTATAAGCCCATTTTAAGAAATAATATGCCATCCATTTTTACTTTTTCGAAGTAATCATACATGTTGTTTATATTATACCATTTTCGTCTTCTGAGAGCAAAGTCTGAACACTTGGTTAGTGTAGATATGTTTAATAGTGTATATTGTTTTACATGATTGACATACTGGTTGATCTTCCTTGTTTAGCAAGTACGAGTGGGTTATTCTCATGTGGCCAATGCATAAGCGGGCCATTACTACTACTTCCTTTCAAGATCTTCTGAAAGCTGACTTTCATTCTCCTAGTTTTAGCTGAATTGAAAATTGTGTAGGTTATCATCCCAGCACTGTTGCCATTCCTTTTTAATATACTTGTTAATGACCTTCTTAAAGTCACTGCATGAGATTTTGATCCTTGTGTCTACAGCCATATCTAAAGCTGATTTGGCTGCTAGGTTTGCTTTATTGTTACCATCAACTCTGATGTAGTTAGGAATCCAACATAGTATGAAGTCTTTATCTTTGCAAGTAGTGTTCATTTTGCATAAAAGTTTAATAACAAGTGGACTGTTGGATTTTTTTATTCTTCATAGACTGAAAAAATTAAGAAGATTTTTGTTTGCTCTGTTGATGATGCTAGCTCTATTGCATAAGACTTCACAGTGAAAATAGAGCTTCCTTTTGGAAGGCATTTTTTTATTGTAATATTTTGGCTCACTGTTGCACATTTTTTCTTGCCCTCACACTTTGACCTGTCAGTATAGATTGGTGTATGGTTAGAGTATTTTTCTAGTACACCCTGAAACTTGTCCTGGAATGTGAGTGGGTGCATTTTTTGTTGTTTAGGGAATGTACTTAGTTCTAGAGTAGGATCCACCATGAGAATTCTGGAAAATGAACATAACCTGATAAAAACAGCCTTAAACTTGATGAAAATAATTTTTTATTGTCTAAATGTTTATGTTATTCTCAAGAGGAAAGATCAAAGTATTTTTGATTATTTTTTTTACATTTTTCAATCATTCCTAGCATGTACAAAATTTTTTTAAAAAATCATTTTTTTAATTCAGGAAAATTGACACAAAATCTATTGTCAGCCATTTCTTTCAATTTTGTAAACAAAAGTGATTATCTGTTTAAAATTCTGTCAAAAATCAATTCTACTGGTTTTAAATTTATTTTAAGAAAATTAGAAATTATAAAGTTTATTTAATATATTTTATTTCCACAACAAGAAAATGTAGTTTAAAATAAGAGAAAGCAGGTCTTAACAGCGGTGACGATTGACATGTGACAAGTGATGATTTCATCACACATTGACAGCTTACGTGAGGAAAAGTTATCATACAGAAGGATAGAAGTGACATGAATTAGCTTTAAGTGAACCAACTTATTTATCTTGTTATTTTTAAGGAAAAGTTTCAGCGCTCTAATTTTTTTGTTTTTTGATACTTAGTTTTCTACCTTTACATTTACAATGCTTTATGAAAAAATATAATACTATAAAAAATTTTAAAATAAGACTGTTGAGCGAGATAAAATTTCATAAGAAAGGTACCTAATTAATTAGGTACCTTTCTCATTAAATTTTATCATAAGTGTACATAATATATTATAATTTTATGTACATTTATTACATTTTACAGTATTATTTGTATTTCAACTCATTTTATTAATTTTGATATTTCATTTATGGAAAAATGTCATAACTGAGATAATATAAAAATAAAACTATATAAACTTCATAAGATAGGTACACAGTACTTTGTAGGTACCCTTATCAGTTGAAATATTATACATTTTTTCTTTCTCTTTTTCCCCCATTTTTTTTAGTCTTAAGTTAAATGACAGTATTGAAAACAACAGGAAACAACATTTATATGCCAATGCAAACCACATGACAGTTTATTGTTTTCATTGTGCTTCTGGCCTTCCATAGATTTGAATTAAAGCCATTTTATAGACACATAAAACCATGTTATATTAGATTTTTATTTAGTTGGGGTCTGCTAATTGTAACCAGTTTTACAATTTATAATCTATACAGATAAATCTACTTAATAACACCATTTCCATTAATTTTAGAATATTTAACAACTTTAATGTAAAAATAATAAAATAATTTAAGAAATAACAAATAATTGTTGTAAAAATTTATTTTTCATCGAAAAAGTTTTTTGCTTTTCAGAATCCATATTCGTAAAAGCAACCAAAAACTTTTGAAATTAAATAATATCTTTGTTTTATTGAGTTTTGTATGTTACAATTCAGAGCTGATTTTAAGGTAGAGGGGGTATAACTAAAAAGAAAAATGAAACATGATTTACTTTCCTCAGAGCCTTGTGCTTTTAACTAATTAATAACTAAAAATGTACACTTTTAAATTTCTAGAGTTTTCATAAAATTAGTTGGGTGGGGGTAATAAATATAAAAATATTATCATGACTTTAAAAAAAAAACAAATATATTTATAATAATTTCCATCATTTGTGATTAGTTTCTGAAAGTTTCATTAAAATCTGAGAATTATTCTTATTTTTGCAACATTTTCAAAATTAATGTCTGTCATTAAAAAAAAAAGCAGTAAAATTTTCTATGTTATTTACTAGGACATCCACTGATGAAGAGAAACAAGGTTTTTTAATCAAAAGTTAGAATGTTCTAAAAAAGACAGAAAATAAATAAAAATTATTTTGTTCTTTCCTCACAAACATTTTGACTATAAAATTTTGTTTTCATCAAGTTTAAGGCCATTTTTATTATGCTATGCTCATTTTCCAGCAATCTCATAGTGGTCCCTATAAGTGATTTCAGGTTGCTTGATTGACCATGGTGGAATACTGGCTCCAGTTGTTTCTTGTCTGTTTCTGGCCACCTCATATATGAAACTACTGTAATCCAGTTTTGAGCGAAGTAATGATCTGAATAATTTTATTAATGTTTCTCGATTTTCTCCCCATTCAGTATAGGCCACTGCATGCAGAAGTTGGAGGACTTTGCTACATTTTATTTTTAATATTTTAGATGGGGAATGAATATTAATTTTTTATAAAAAATGATGGCTAAGAACTTGTGTTGTTCCACTACTGGGATTTCTGTTCATTTAATTTTAAACAGGGGTTGTTGTGCAATTTTTTTGTGGCCTATTTGTGTATTTTATTGAGGTATTGTTTGAGTTGTCGTTCTATGGTATGCACATGTCGAAATGTGTACATTATTAGAAAGTTGTTAACATATAGGGAGCATCTCGCTCCTGAGATTAGACATTTAACTATAGAGTTAATTAATGCTTCCTTGTGGAACCACTTCTTGATTTTGCAGTTCTGATAGTGTAGTTCCTATACAGACTTGAAACTTTCGGTCTGCCAGGAAATTCTGTATGAATTGAGTCAGTCTTACTTTTAGGCCCAGTTCATGCAGGTTTTTCAAGATAACAAATTTCTATGTTGTGTCGTACACCTTTTGTAAGTCAAAAAAGACTGCCGTGAAGTGTTCCTTCTTAAGATTCCATTACAAAGGTTTCTCTGCATATTAAGTGGTCCATGGTACTTCTTTTTTTCTTGAAAGTGCATTAGAAGTTGCTGATAGTCCCCTTTAGTTTCCAGGTACCAAGTAAACTTGTTGACCATTCTCTCTGTAGTTTTACATAGGCAATTGATTAATGCTATTAGTCTGTAGTTTTCAGGGTCAGTGTCATCCTTCCCAGGTTTTGGAATAGGGATGATGAAAGACTGTCTCCACATTTCTGGGAAGTTGCCATTTGTCCATACATTATTATACATTCTTAATAACAGTTCAAATGATTTGTTGGGTAACTGCTTTATGAATTCATAGTGAATATCATCTGGACCCACAGCTGTATTGTGGGCTTTCTATTCATTTAGTTTCTCTAGAGCAGGAGGTCGCCTGCAAGCTGGATCTGACCCGTGATGTGAGTTCATCTGGCCCACCACTGCACAGTGTTATACAAATGAGCTAAAATATAATTATTTTTATGGAATTATTCATTATTGTTAAACTTACTATATAAAAAAAATTAATATATATATAAGTAAAAATGCCAAAATTTTTGGCATCTGACAGTAATATAAGTTTTAGATTGATTTGCAAGCAACTTGTTGAAAGAGAAACACAGAGAAGAAAAAACTTTTATCATGGCTTACCTAATGATGAGTTTTCAAAGTTGAAGAAATTTGCTTCTGGTATGGTATCAGTGTTTGGAATAACATATGTCTTTGAGTAAACATTTTCAAAAATGAAGCATGTAAAGTCAGCACATGTAACAAGACTGATGAACATTTGAAAGTAATTCTTTTGCTTGGATGCAGCAATTCCAAAGCAAAGCAAATATTGATTATATCTTAAAAGATAAATGCCAGTTTCACAAATCTCACTAACCTTTTTTACCACATATTTTGAGAGAATCGAACATGTGTGTGCTTGTGTTATATAACTATTTTATTGCTAATGTTGACTTCTTTGATAACTTATTGTCTTTATGTTGTCTTTCTTTTGCATATTCAGTGTATTGTATTGAATAAAATGGTTATCCAGCATGTGCTTGTCATTCTATCAGTTA